CCCTGAGCTCGTCTTGGAGGCTTCAGTTCAACCTGAAACAGTTTGAGCAGCATCCTGCAACATGTCTTCATTAGATCCAGGGAATGTGAGACTGTGATTCAAATGTTCTGCACAGGTCAATCTGCTGTTTGGAGCCTATTAAAACTGTATTAATGTTAATTTTGCTTCACATCGATTTTAAAGCTACTTCCATATGTTGACTCTCCTCTGTCATCACCAAAACCAAACTCTGTACCGACACCTGTGTTTGATGATGAGGAGGATAAAAAACACACCTGATGAAGGCAGCTATAAGGAGGCAGACATGTGGGAACAAGGGATAAAATAAATCCATAAGGTCAGGATGAAAAATTCCCATGGTGATGATATCTTCCTCCACCATCTCAGTGGCATTAAAGAATATTCGGGCGAAAGCTGCATGATTTATGGTGCCCTGGGTGACTGTGTCTGCTGCAGTCGTGTCGCATGTCCGATGTCTCAATGGAGAAATGACCACACAGAGTGATCTGGAAGATAAGGCAGTTAGTCAGGAATTATTAGAGAGTAATGTTCACAAACAAATTAAAAAAGAGAATCCCACTTTGAATATTCAATCATGTGGTGGATTCCAATCCAAATAATGATTCTACAGCTTTAATGTTAATGTGATTCCTGAATCAAAGCTCATGACTGGGTAATAATAACACATCACCTACTTCACTAATGAAATGTTCTTTTTTCTCACTTTCACTCCATTCTTCATGTATTATAAATGATCGTTCATTAATACATGATGAGTATTATTCATTATTATGTTGTCCTGCTGATAGAAATGTCAGATCAGACAAAACTGATTTCCTCTCTCTGCCCTCTGTGTTTTCTTGCTGATCCAGAGGAACAGTAATATCGAGGGAATCAGATATTAGAATGTCTGGGACTTTGACGTTCATCACCCACACAGTAATTGTGTTAGGAAGAGATTCCTTAACACCAATGTGGACAGAACAAAACAAAAAAGCTCAGAAGAAAACACTGCAACTTTTTGAGGATTACTTTTGTGTTTCCTCGTTCTATGATTATCGTACATCTCACAATACTGTTACTTTTCCGGGGGATACTTTTGACATGTGTGTCAGCGACAGGGTAACAGTAACTCAGTGCAGCATGGCTCAAGTTTTTCAGGAAGTAAATAATGCAAGGTGACTCAATATATATATTGTCAAGTAACACAAGTATTGTAAGAGAATGCAAAATGTATTACAAAGGAACTTAAAAGTAATCTGCAAAAAATTCTCCATGTGATTTCGTGTGTTTTACTCATTTGCCGTTGTGTTTCATAATGTGCTGTTGTGTCACTGTTGTGTTTTTTAGTTTTCTTTAATTGTCGTCGTGTTTTGTAAATTTGCTGTTGTGTTTTCTGCTTTGCTGTTGTGCTATGTGTTTTGCACTTCAGGGCCACCATCTTTTCACAATCATTTCACAATCATTTAGAGGATCTGGAAACTTTTGTAACTAGACAGACTTTAAATATGAACCTTGTAACATCAGCACTTTGTCTGTCCTGCTTTCAAAGAACCACTTTTTCTCACAAACTGCAGATGACACCAGCATCACCAACACCTCATCTGCTCACCCTGCTCCACGGTCCTGATGGAGCAGTGAAGAACCGCCTAAAATGTTCATGAATTGAGCAGCGAATGACGAGAGCTGCGTCAGAGAGCCACTTCCTCAGGTAGGAGTGGATAACCTTGACAAATGCGCGCACAGTTTTTTGCCCCGTCTCTTTCTCTGTCTCTCAGCTTCCCTCTGCTTCTCCCTCAGAGGTGCACTAGTGTCACACACCAGCACGCGTGTGTGTGTGTGTGTGTGTGTGGCAGAGGTGAAGATTTGTCTCTGTTAATAATGAGGAGCGGTCCGTGCGTCACGGTGCGCCCCGGACTCTCCACCCTGCGTGTCAGAGCTGGAGGCAGGGCAGCATGTGATGATCCGTCCTCCAGTGTCCTGTGAGCGCCTCAGTAGGTGAAGCAGGAGCAGCCCGGCGGATGTTTCCACGACTCTCTCCACATTAACCCTGACGGATGCAGATTAAACCCTGGATATCGTTGATCGCCATTAAAGACTTACGGTGAGGGTTGTTTTTTATCATCTCCCCACATGTGCATCTCTTCCCCAGTGTTATCACGTGGATTTTAAAAGGTGTAAAGTGATTATTTCTGCATAAGTTGTTAAAACAAAGTTTGAATAGCCCAGGGTCAAGTCAATGCATGCTTTTGAAGTTGTGTATAAAATTGGTGCTCAGAGGTCAGGAAATATTCCGATGTGACCTTGATTGTGAGATAAAAAAAGACGCAGCATCACTCACAGTGAGCAGTTAAATCATAGATGGAGGAACATCAGAGGATCATCAGCATCAGCACCAGAAGTGTCACCATGATGTTCACAATGAGTGATGTGTGTTGATGTTGCTGTGAACATCTCACAACCTGCAACTGCTCCGTTCAACTGTACTCTAGACGTAAAAGATGCTTTCAGGACAAAAAAGAACCTTTAAAGTTTATGTTTTCATGCTTTTATAGTTAATTGATATCCTAAATCCTTGAGGAAAATTTGCGTTGACAGTTGTATCAGATCAGAATAATTTATTAGTGACCACACAAATAAGTTATCTTATGGTAAAGCATGGAAATACTCATGTCAGCGTGAAAAATTACAAAGATATTGGCAGTGGTGACACTACAACATGATACCAGACAATATTACTTACACAGTGACATAACAGTCCATGTACAACAAGGTTGTTGCAGAGGGTTCAGAGGCCTTGGGGGAAACATTTGCAGGAATTGTCTCTTTCTTTCAATACTCTGTGATTTCCATTGTAAAACAACTGATGAGCTCCCCACGTTTGCATTAGGGTACAACTTTTACCTGGATGTCCGTGATTATATGTTGTGTCTGACAATGAAAACCGACGTGTAAGGTTGTGTGTTCATGGTTGAAGAATGGCTGATTGTGTGACCTTGTTAGTGCTATGTGAAAACATGTGAAACATCTCTTTCCATGTTTTGTTGCTTAAAGAAATGCTTGTGTCGTATTGTCATTTAGAAATGATGCCTGGCATCTGAGGTGCTGATTGTACACTTCTGAATATGAAAGCTCACATATCCACATGAATAAGAACATTGTAACTCAAGTGACGAGTGATTCAGGAGAAACCACACAATCTCTTATTTTTGTGTGTACAGCAAATGAGCCCTCAATGCAGCCTCCACTGCTGATGTGATGTCATCTGTGAAGTTTTACTGGAGGTGATGCCCAGTATAGTGAAACCCTAACCTTGCATATTTATGTATTATCCCTTATTCTGATGGATGCAGGGTCCCTGAAGGATCCTGGGCCTTCAGATATGGTTATATTATATGTATATGACAAGATGTTATATGTAGATCTAAGCTAAGAAACTATTCCTCTTGAAGGTTTTTCCCTTCCATAGTAAAATGTGCTCATCTGAGCACATTTTTTTTTTAGCAGGATTACTGGTTGGGTGAGCCGATGTTTAGTATTTTTTTCATGTCTAGGAGTTGGCTGATTGATATTACGTGTCTCGTGTACTGCAGTGTGGGATTGAATGACAAGACAGAAAAAAAGCAGAGATGCTGGGGCTTTACAGTTAATGGCCACAGGATTATGACGAGTTGTGAATGGTCGTGCACGGATTATTGCATCACAAGCTCATCTTGACATGCACAGAGGAGGGAATCTGTTGTGGGATGAAAAACGAATAAACAAGGAAAGCGAATGAACATCCTGAGCAAGAAGAACGGTATTTTCTATTGGTGTTTGTAGCTTTATTGTCACAGACAGGAGTCCAGAGAGGGTTTGCGTGGATTTTAATGTTCTTGTGCGAGAATCTGCTGAGTTTGTTTTCGGCTGATGCAAGCAGCCGGTGTTGTGACGATGAAGGCCTGTGTGCATCACTGCTGTTGCATCACACTCGAGGTGCAGCATCTTCATCCAGCTCCTCTTGTCTGCTGTTCTTCTGTTTTCACAAGGCCCTGGTGATCTTGGACTTTTGATTCTCTCTTCCTCAAGGAGAAAAGTGTGTTCAAAGAAGCTACAAGCTTTGCATTTCTGCATTCCAGTGCATTGCAGTCTTTTTGTAATGGAGAAAGCTTTCGCTCAATAAGTAATGAGCCTACACAGGGGCTCGTGATGTGGATCAGGAGAACGCGCCATGGCACTTCATCCAGAGCATCATATTCACTTCCTCCATTACGTTTGGGTTGTACCAACCACTCTGTGAGAGGGGGGCAAGGATGGATGCTGCTGTGAGGCTTCAGGGGATTAGAGGATTTACAGGGGAAAAGCTTCACTGAAGTTAAGCTTTGCAGAACAGGGAAATTAAATAGAACAATTTGCAAGATTGGGAATTTTTTTGGAACCGGAAACATCATGTGGTTCTTTTGAGTGTTTGCTATTTTGTGTGTGTGTGTGTGTGTGTATGTGTGGCTATGTGTGAAGTCCCTGAGGTTTTTTATTTTTTTATTCAGATTTACTGAGCTCATAGGTGTGATGAATGGTCTCCTGTCCTCACATCCCTCACGGTTCTGCAGAGACATATGTGTTAGCATCCAGTGTGGACGAATAATTGTGTCAGCGATTGCGAGAATTGTTATTTAAAGATCAGAGCTGAGAAAACAAAGCTTGAAATTACATCAAATGAGCCTCATCAAGAACCTTATTTTTTTTATTCATAAAGAAGTATATTTATGGATTTTTTGTCTAATAATGGAACATTATAACACTTTGAATTTGGATGATGTCCTTGAAATAAAATGTTCTATCCAAACTTTCTTTTTTTCTGATGCAGGACTGAGGCCAACACCTGAAATCCAGCTGTCACTCCTAAGTCTCCTCCTCACAGCTCCATCCATCCATCTCCATTCTTTGCATCTCTTCTCTCTGTTCCCACCAGTCTCTTTCTCTCTCCACCCCCATCCCCTTCCCGACCCTCAGCCTCCCTCATGCCTAAGAACAGCAAGGTGACGCAGCGCGAGCAGAGCAATGAGCACGTCACTGAGTCGGTGGCCGACCTGCTCGCACACGAGGAGCCGCTGGACTACAAGAGCAGCTCCCTGAACGTTGGAGGGGCTGCAGGGAAGAAGGCCCCGCAGAGAGAGGTGCCCGAGAACGATGGGCGTCCTGCCTGGAACAGCAAGCTCCAGTACATCTTGGCCCAGGTGGGCTTCTCTGTGGGACTGGGCAACGTGTGGCGCTTCCCTTACCTGTGCCAAAAGAATGGAGGAGGTGAGTTGGAGGCAAATCTGTAAGTCTCTCTGTGAGCTACATATGGTCATGTTAACGGGAACTATAGATAACCACACATAAAATGTCAGTTAAAATAAGACAGTGCCATTTATGTAGCCTTGTGCCTCTACAACATTGTTGAATTCACAATAGACAGTTTAACAAAAAACTAAACTAAACGAAGTGATGTAGAAGAACCAGAGATACAGTCACTTCACGTTGTTACAACCTGGTATCTACATTACCCACAATACAACCTGAGCACTATCACTTCAGTCAGAGATTAAAATGTATGTGTGCTATGCTACTGCAGTTAATTCAGCGACTAGACTCAAGCAGTCTACTCGATATTATCAACTCATCAGTGGAATTAAATTGTTATAGTATGATAAAAGCTGTGTAATTGTTTCTTTCATCCATCCATGCATCCATTTACCATCCATTATCTACACCGCTTATCCTTTTGAGGGGCGTGGTGGGGTGGGAGCCAGTCAGCTGATAGTGGGTGAGAGATGGGGCACTATCATGTCACCAGTGTAGTTGCTTTTATCCACATTTATTATTCAAAAAATAATAATTACAAAAGGAGAATTAGTAACATAAATTCCTTTTTCACAAGTTAATATTTCGATTCTGCTTATTTGTATTGTCTTTGAACGTGCTGCTCTGTCCTATTTAACATGAGTGATTTGAAATTTCTCAGACGTAAAATAAAGTCAGCTTCTTGTTTGTCTTCTCTCGGTTGAACTTTAGCATCTGATTGACCGCGATCATCACAAACATTGCATTTTCCACCCGGCACAGAACTAACAGGAGAGCGCTGCAGTGAAGGAGAGATTCCAAAAATAGCTTCACCATTGATTATTACTGGCGGCAGGGCCAGGCCCAGCAGAACCGATACTCTAATGAACAGAGGAGAGCTCGATACAAAAATGAGTGTAACTGTACACAGAGGGAGTTTTAGTTTTGTAATCTGAGGCGTACACAGTGTAAACCATGTGTTCACTGTTGCTGAAGAACATCGTGTCACGACAGACGTGATGCTGCCTCCATCAGACTGAGTGATTTCAGCTTTATGGCCCATGTCTGATTTATATGCAGGATTTACTGTCTGCAGGGAGGCGTCGGTGGGAGTAGACTCACTCCCGAACCGGTCAGGTTGTGCGGCCTGGCGAGCGGCCATTTTTCACTGTGTAATTTGCTGCCAGACAGCAAATTACAGACACATTAAAAGGTCTGTGTGATTAGGAGTTATCGCTGTGTGGGCTCCTCTCTGCTTTCTTTGGTCACCTTCCCTCATCGGCCTTTCTCTTTTCTGTTTTATCACCCTCTATCATTTTTCCCCCTGTTTCATCTGTATGCCAGAGACTCTGTTATACATCATATTTATCACACGCTCTAATTTTAATATCCTATGATGAAGTGGATTTGTGAGTGAGTGAGTGCTTGAGTAAGTTGTCATCCGAGGCCTAAAACTCCTCCCTGTCATTTCCTTCTTGATTCATCCGTTCACGTCTGTGCCTCATTACTCCTCCCACTAATTCCTACTTCTGATGTATTAATAGTAGTAGTGCATGTTTGTCTGCTATAAGTCTTTATATCCCGGATGATGACTCACCCTTCACAGAAAAAAAAAAGTTCTCCTGATTACGCCTCCCTGGATTAAGCTGCATAGAGACACATTTGGATTTCCATCAAAATTAGAAATGTACTTTAAAGAATATTAATCAGTTTACTTTGGATATTTACATCATTCAGAAGCTGGGTGGGTAAATATATTGTAACTTGCTGAATCCCTTTATCACATTTTTCAGGTTAGATTAATTGAAAACTGTTTAATCACTGCACTAGTCCTGAAGATATTAATACACAAATACAAAGAACCTAAACTCATCTCTTAGGAAACTTTCTACAAGGGGTAGTTGCTTGGTTGGTTGGTTGGTTGCTTGGTTGGTTGGTTGGTTGGTTGGTTTGATAGCAGGGTTACTGGAGGGGTGGGACATGGCCAAGAAAGAAATCGTAACATTTTGAGGTGTTTCTTGAGATTTTCACCAATTTCATACCAACTGATATCTGGGGCTCTTTGTGATGTTTCTATTGTATTGTATTGTTTTTTTTAATCAGGAGCATTTCCAATACTCATTCTGTACTGTGTATATTTTTCCAGACATTTTCATTTTTCTGGTGTGTTCTGCTGAACATTTTCCTGAACACTTTGATTTAATTCCTATGACAGCTCAATCTCAATCTGATGGTTATAGAGGTTTATTAGTTTTGTTAATTCATTCATTAATATTTAGGGGACACATTTTACATCACATACCTCATGTAGTGAGTGTACTATGGTAAGCTCATTTTTAAGCCATCATGTTTTTCAGGTGCCTACCTGGTCCCCTACTTCATCCTCCTCCTCCTCATTGGCATCCCGCTCTTCTTCTTGGAGCTGGCGGTGGGTCAGAAGATACGACGTGGGAGCATCGGTGTGTGGAACTACGTGTGTCCCAGTCTGGGTGGAATAGGGATGTCAAGTCTGATGGTAAAGGAAGCAGCAGACATTGATTTTTCTGTAATTGTTTATCTATCATCACTGTAGCTGTGAGCTGAAGACTGCAATATTCTGTCGCAGAAAAGCAGTTTGACAGCAGTGTGGTGGAAAGAGAAAGTATCCATCCATCCATCTATCTATCTATCTATCTATATATATATATATATACATGAAGCACACAGTGTAGANTATATATATATCCATCCATCCATCCATCTATCTTATATCACTATCATACCTCATATATATGTATGTAACTTTATATGTAGTATTGTATGTAGAAGCTAAACAACCAATTTTACAGTAAAAGACAGGATAGAGTTACATCTCGAGTCGCCATAACAACCATCACACTTCCTCAGCCTCTCTTGGGGCGTATGGCAGGTATTGGCGTGTCGGAGAGGGAAAGGTAGCCTTTCTTCAGAGTTGTGCTGCTCGCACAGAAGTAGCTATAAATATCTCATGGAAGATCAGTGTTGAAAAGAGAGCACTTTAATTATTCATGCTTCCCTCAACCTTATTTAGCTCCTGAATGTCCTGGCTGGCAGGACTGCTCAGAAGACTGATGGCAACATGACGTGTAGAAAGCCGCCTCATTAGCATACTTCTTTCACTTCGTCCTGATTCTGAGATGAAATGTTGGCAGAAAACCTGATTCATTCGTAATTTATGTTAATGTATGCTGGCTCTTAATGTCACACAACAGAGTGTGTAGGCTGCTGTAAAACTACAATGGAATAGATAACAACCATCCATCTATCTTTCTTATCTATTTTTTCTATCTAGGTGTGTGGCTTTGTGGGTCTCTACTATAACGTGATCATTGGCTGGAGCATCTTCTACTTCTTCCAGTCCTTCCAGTATCCTCTGCCATGGAGCGACTGTCCAATCAGAAAGAACGGGACACTTGCCAGTAAGTGACAGTGAAGAATAGGCAAAGCAAGTTTATTTGTGTTTGTTTGTTAGTTAGCAGGATTACGCAAAAACTACTCCAACTCTTTTTTCTATTACCTAAATTAGACAGATTGTGTTAACTTCATAATTCGATGGAAGTAATTCAGATTAAAAACCCCTGGATTTCAATGGATTGGTAGATACGATAACATCAGCCCAGCCAAGAGACACTCAGCATATGTCTGACCCAGCAAAGGACAGAGGCTCTGTGCGTCTCATAGATGTGTAACCAGTGTAACAGGGAAAGCATGGTGATTCAACCAGACAGTAACAATAATTATGCGGAGGACATATTGAATTCAGAAGATTTAGTTTGTCATACATCTAGAAGAAGTTTTTTTCCTGTATGTGAAGCTGTAGCGTGTTTCCATGCAGGTTGTTTTAGTCTTTGTGCATCGGTTTAAATAAATCTGCACCATCCTGCAGAATAATGTTGAGAATCGCACTCAGCCACACAATATATATCATTTCCTCAAGGTAACAGCAGAATATATTGTGTGTGCACTGACTAGATCTCAGGTGTTGTGAATTGGAGGTTCATGCTTTGCATAGCAAGCACACAGATGACCTTGTTTAGCTCACTTGCGTCTGACGGTGTGTAAACCAGCCGAGAATTGAGATATTGACTCTGAGCAAACATTGTCGATTCAATTACTTTACTGCCCTTGTCATCTTCCTGCTGAATCTTCACACCTCCACTTCTTTTCCCTTCGATACTCATTATCAGCTGAACTAAACCTCTGCCTCTGTCCGACTGTAAAACTCACAGTTGTGGAGCCCGAGTGTGACAAAAGCTCAGCCACGACTTATTTCTGGTACCGACAAACCCTGAACACGACCAGCACGATCGCAGAGAGCGGCGGCCTCAACGTCAAAATGACCCTGTCTCTGTTGGTGGCCTGGATCATCGTCTGTCTCGCCGTCATTAAAGGAATCGCCTCCTCTGGGAAGGTAGTGGAGTGATGGTATGATAAGAGAAAATTATGAAAGAACAGCACTGGTCTACCTTTCCTAAATAAGTTTTCCCTCTCATGGTTTACAGGTGATGTACTTCAGCTCTCTTTTCCCCTACGTGGTGCTCTTTTGTTTCCTTGTGAGGGGGTTAATGCTGAAGGGATCGGTGGATGGTATCGCTCACATGTTCACTCCCAAGGTTTGTTTTTCTCAATATGAATATTTAATAATATATGAAGTGTATATGTACCAATACAATACAATACAATACACCAAATACTTATACCTTGTATCTCACAGCTGGAGAAGATGTTGGAGCCCCAGGTTTGGAGGGAAGCAGCCACCCAGGTGTTTTTCGCCCTGGGTCTGGGCTTTGGAGGAGTGATAGCTTTTTCCAGTTACAATAAGATAGACAACAACTGTCATTTTGATGCTGTGCTCGTCTCAGTCATCAACTTCCTGACCTCCATTCTAGCCACGCTGGTGGTGTTTGCTGTGCTGGGCTTCAAGGCGAACATCATGAACGAAAAGTGTGTCGTCGAGTGAGTACAACGCTTGCAGAGGCAGGAGTCAAAGTATAATGCTCATATTCAAGTTCTTAATTTTAATTTGGTTTATAACTAAAAGACAAAATGACTGCTGTGAAAAGAAACGATTGGACAAATCAGAAATAATGTCTGTATGTATGGGCCAATTCATCCACCAGTTATTAAAACATTTTTGGACCATATAGACCAATCAAACAACCAATCTTAAATGTTGATAGTAAAACAAGAAATCAAAGGAATAATTTTATCAGCATGAAACCGGTAACCCTGGGTCAAAACAAGTCCTGACAGAGAAAATACTGGAAGTAAGAATGACTGGAGGAAGTATGTGCTAGCTTAATGAATGATCTGATACGAATAAATATGTTTTACATAATAAATCCAGAGCCCTACATTATACTGACGGTTTTGAGTAAATAACTCCGAGAGCTTATAGTGAAATTTGCCGCTCCAGTGTAATTCCACCACTTTATATCACAACACAATATTTGGCTTTTCAAATTTCTTACATTGCTTATGTTTCAAGGAATTCTGAGAAGATCCTGGGGTACCTCAACTCAAACGTCCTGAGTCATGATCTCATCCCTCCGCACATGAACTTCTCCCATCTCAGCACATCAGACTATGCTGAGATGTATGGGGTCATCAAGGCAGTCAAAGAGGGTGGCTTCGCCCAGCTGGGTCTGGAGCCTTGTGTCCTTGAGGACGAGCTCAACAAGGTGAGTCTTAGAAAGTCTGTTTCTGTGGACGTGATCCATGATCCATGTTCATGACTCTTGACTCCTATGACTCCATCTCTCTTCAGGCTGTCCAGGGCACCGGCCTGGCTTTCATCGCCTTCACAGAGGCCATGACCCATTTCCCAGCATCTCCATTCTGGTCAGTCATGTTCTTCTTCATGCTCATTAACCTCGGCCTGGGCAGCATGATTGGAACCATGACCGGCATCACTACACCCGTACTCGATGCCTACAAAGTCCAGAAGGAGCTTTTCACAGGTATCCAATATATATTTTAGCTTAAACTCCTTACTCAGCACTTAAATAGGATTATAGCACATTTGGTAATGGGATGCATTAGGCTTTGTAAAGCGCATCAACAGCAAAACAAAACAACAAGCAAAGAAACCCATTGAAAATAAAATGTTTTTCAATTAATTACCCAATTGTTCTTCTTTGTGTTTCTTTCAGTGTGTTGCTGCATTGTCGCCTTCCTGTGTGGCCTGTTGTTCGTTCAGCGCTCAGGGAATTACTTTGTCACCATGTTTGATGATTACTCTGCTGGTCTGCCTCTCACTGTCGTTGTCATCCTGGAAAATGTGTCTGTCGCTTGGATTTACGGTACTAAAAGGTACATCTAACTTTGTGTATCGTCATGTCTTTGGATACTCAAACCTGAGTCATGAAGTCAAAGCATTCATCTGAAAGGTATTAAATAAGTATAAAATGTATTAAGGGACATCACTGTAACTTTTTTTGCTCTTCTGTCTCAGGTTCATGCAGGACCTGGAGGACATGTTGGGTTTCCGACCATGCATTATCTATTTCTACCTGTGGAAATATGTCTCCCCGTTCTGCCTCATCATTCTCATCTCAGCCACTGTCATAGAGATGGCCATCAGCCCACCAGGATACAACGCCTGGGTTGAAGAGCTGGTCAGTCAGTATGTGTGTGTGTGTGTGTGTGTGTGTGTGTGTGTGTGTGTGTGTGTTTGTGTTGACAGCCGAAATAGTGGAGCAGGAATCCAGATTCTTTACTTAAGCAAAAGTAGCAGTAGCTTCATTTAAAAATACTGCATAGAGCTGCTTAGAGCTAGTAACTAAGAAATGTAGTGAAGTAAACAATAAAATAATTAAAAAAAAACACATTTTGTACTGAATGGCTGCTGTTGTTGAGGAGTCAGTCGTCCACTAATTAGACATCTGTCGAAGTGTCCTTGGGCCAGTTCCTGAAACCCAAATTATGTGAGTGAAGTGTGATAGAGAAATGACTGCACATAAATGCAATGTAAGAATGTGTTTTTCTGTGAAAGGCAAAAAAAATGTACTGTGCTTTTAGTGGTCAGGTCAGCGGTTTGATTCCAGTCCTGACCATTCCTTATGCCAAAGTGTCCTTGGGCAAGATACTGAACTCCAAATTGCCCCTTCGCATAGAGAAAGTACTGCATGCAGATGCGCTGTATGAATATGTGTGTGAATGAGAAGTTATCGAGACTAGAAAAGCTCTATATAAATACAGTCCATTAACCATTTCAGTTTTCATTCTGTTTTCCATCTACAGAGCATTTTTGGAAAAAAATATTTGTTTCCAAGTTCCTCCCTCTCACTTGACACTCTTTCAATGTTTGCAGGCTCAGGAACGTTTCCAGAGTTACCCTCCCTGGGCACTTGCCATGTGCTTCGCTCTAATCGTTGTGGCCATGCTTCCTGTCCCCATCGTCTTCATCGCTCGTCACTTCAACTTGATGTCCGATGGCTCCAACAAGCTGTCTGTCTCCTATCGTAAAACCATGATGAAGGACATCTCTAACCTGGAGGAGCAGGATGAGGCCAGATCTATCCTCGGCGCCAAACCCGGTGAGGCGCCATCATCAGCCCCAGCACACAAAGCATACCTCACTCCTGGAGAGAACAAACCCCTGGACCCGAACTCCCTGTCTCCAAACAGCTGTTACGGTACAAGCTACCAAAATGCTGCCATCAGTCCCACCACGCCAACAACACCGACCACGCCTGTCATGCCAGAGTCCGACTCCTGACTGCTGTCCAAACATCCAGTCCTGTAGCACAGTTTACCTTTCAGCCATAAAGTCTCCACCAGGGGTCACTGCAGCTCCAAGAGTCCCCACCACTGCCCTGCTAACACCACTAAACTGTATGTAGTCGCCTAATTTATCTGAGCACACACATCCCAAAAACAAATTCTCCATGGTTTCCATGTAGGCAGTACGGAGATATACGTCAAAAACAGAAGGGAAAAAAAGACAAAATTCACTCTTAACAGTGACACACTGTATACAGCACTATTCTGTTTGTATTTGAAATCACAGTATTTATGTGCTTGAGCTGAACGTCTGTGATCTGCTTTTCTTTGCCTTAGTATAAGGACCCTCAGCAGACATAGCCCCCTCACATTATAATGCACACCCCTGTGCAGGGGATCTGAAAGAACGAATGTAGTGGAGCTTGTGTGGTTCTGCTGAGTGAACTGGGTTTTCACTGCAGCAGAGGCACTGAGAGGCCGAAATGAATGTGCGTATAAGGTTAAGTGTTGTATAGATACTGTGCGTCAAAGCCATACAGCTTAACACAGATTAAGTTCTTTTCTATTAGAGAATATGCAGTGATTTCACCATGTCTACATTGAGCTCTGTTCTGCTCAATATATATATACAACTGTGCTGTAGAAAATCACTCATTTCAGTTTGTCCGACAAGGAGAAAAAGAACACAACAAAAAACTTGAACAGGAAGCACAGCTTTGTTTTTGTTGCTTCTTTGGTGCAGCTCTGACAAAATGACAATGCTACAAAAGCACAAAAGAGATTTTACATATTTATAATGCACAAGCAAATTTACCTATTATTTTAAAAATGTATCCATGTAAAGAATTAAAATAATTGCTGTCTTTAACCAGGTCAGACACAATGATGAAGCAATATATAGCACAAAATAAAATGCACAAACTATATTCTTTATGGACGAAAATTATAACAAACACTCAAAACAAAAATCAGCAATGGACCTAAAGATATATGAAGTTAAATATATATTTAATTAATATTAAACTCATATTTTGATAGTATGAACTTCTCAATGCCTTAGACTCCTCACATGTTCATGCTTGTACACGGGCAAAAAATAAATACATGAATATAACACAAATGTGCAAATGTTCTGTATATTTGTGAAATATTACTGGACGTGCAGCACCAGGTGTCCTCTTTGATAAAGGTCTTTGACTCCTGACAAAGTTAAGACAGTCAAAGGAAGCACATATAAGTTCATGTTGCATATAAGAGAGTACTTTTATTTATTTTTGTTCAAAACAATGGTGTTAAAAGCGGACAGTGTTTATATTCCTGTATATTTCCAGTGTATGTAGGTGTAATGAATAACAAAGATTTATCTTTTACAAGTGACCAGTATATAAATATCTGTATATTTTCATCTTATGTAGCCTAAAACTTAATGAGGTTGTATATTTTAAGATTTATCTATTTTGTAGTTTGATGTGAAAACACTGCGGGCGGTTGGAAGTGATGTGTTTGTGTTTGTGTGTGTGTGTGTGTGTGCGTGTGTGGTTGCACCTCATGTTCAGTGATGTCCGCTCACCTGTCTCCACTTTAGGTTAACTGGTCTACTTGTTTGTAGCCACACTAGCAGTTAAGCACAAATTGCTCTTAGTTCATGACACGATACCTATGAAATAATCACATTAAACAACAAGGAACATTTCCACAGGAGCTCAGGTTTGTATATTTTCAACTTGCATGCACATGTCCTCATCTAAATTTCTGTGAGAAACTTTATCCTCGACACGTTGCACACTCAGAAACATTGTGTGTCACTAGTGTGGCTACAAACTTTAAGTCTTGTTTAGTTTCTCGTGCTGTTTTAGTTTGTGTGACCCAGGTATTTCCTGTTGAGGGTGTATCATGTAGATCTGTCTGTTGTTCAAGTCTGTAAATAATCTTGTATAACCGAATTATTAGGAGGATGGATTTTATTCATGTGATGTATATCAATGTCTTAAAAAGTAGGCTAACTGTTTTAGCATTAAATGTTACATGAAGTAATAATGAATGTGATTGATTGATTTTTTTTTTTTGTCACTGCAATAAAAAAGTTTTGTTGTCATCATCGCAGTAAGTCTGAGGTCGGTATAAAAGCAATATCAACAGAATCAATGAAGGAGATGTTAACGCCTGAGTGCCAGTTTAACAAAATGATTAGGAATCACCCCTCAAATCCAAAGGGATGTTGTGACTCTTCTTTCTGGAGTGTGTTGTGAAAACTAAGTTTCAATCTTGGTCCAAAAAAAATTCAGTTGAATGAAAAACAGGAGAAGTCAACTCAAAGGCAACAGAGTTTTATTGTCGACAAGAAAACCCGAGAGCATTCAGTAGTGAGCCTGAGCAGCACCAGAGAAGAACTCGGTCTAACAGTGGTGTGGTTCCATCTATATATATACATATAAACCCTTAGAGGCCACACCTGTGGTCTATCATTACATCATGGCCTAAGCCCATAGGTTACTTTGGCCAGCTTTTGGGACTTCCCACTTGAAGTTCACTGTTTTGCACAGACATGTTTCTTTTTCCTTTAACCAGTTTTGATTATTCTTGACATCATTATCTTCTGTTCAATCAGTTTACAATTTTTTTTAAAGATATTGTGATTACTCTTGACACCATTATGTTTCAGTTTTGTCAGATTGCCTTTTTTAAAAAGATTATTATTTCTTCACACAAGTTATACATACACATCATACTGTTTGATACACACAGAGTATATGGTTCGATTCGTAATCATTGTGTTAAACTTGTTTTAATCATTAGCAAAGTATGTTTCAACACACATTAGATTGAAGTGCAGATTAAAGGTATATAGTGACATTCATACGTGACAAAGTATAGTGACCAAGAATTATACTACAAGTGTGTGTACGTGTGTGTGTGTGTGAGTGTGTGTGTGTGTGTGAGTGTGTAGTAGACTTCTTCTTATTACCTGTGGGTGCAGGGCCTAATTAAGCTCCCCTCTGAACCATTGTCTGTACAGGAGACACATTTAGAAATGTCCCTTTACAGCTTCACTCTCCTTCCTCAGTCACATTATGATTGTACGATACTGACAATTACTGTAAAAAAATAAATACAAACAAATACAATTGTGCACATCATTTAAAATAATAAAAATAAAGAAATGACATGTTGCTGTTGGATACTTGAAATTTTCTGGTGGTTATATGTATATATATTTGTTTCCACTTTCTTTAACATTGTGAGATGTTAATAAAATACAATAAAAAAGATAAATTTCATTTATTTGATGAATTTAAATTTTCCCTTATCAAATACAGAGAACTAGAACATTTGGTCATTTGCCCCAAAGGACAAGTGCACAGAGATATATTACAGTGCCAGTAACAGACTGATAAAATCAAAGTGATGAAAAGCACATAGCTGAGCAAAAGGAATAAATCATAAAATAAACAATGCATAGTAGTTTCTTACAAGAAACTTGGATGTGAATAAACTTGCACTGGGTGTTTATAAACCTCTGAATCCTTCATCATCTGTCCTGTGTCAAATCACAGATCCTGATGGAACATTTGTCTCCGAGCCAGAAGCCTGGATACAGCTGCTCCGTGAATTCAGCCTCCATCTTGTAAAGAAAGATCATACTGTCCGACACCTCGTAGAAGGACAGAGTCCCCTCCTTGAACTTCAGATAAACCCCGATCCTGTGATGATGGGGGCACCTTGTGAGCTGAACGCTGTTGCTGTTGTGACTCACTGAGTAGTGTGCAGATCGATCAAGGCTCCAGGAGTTCGCATTTGCCCCAAAGGCAGACAGCTTTGTCCGAGATTTTCTTTCCATACCTTTGTAGACGAGTGCGATCTCCACCTTGTCGCCTTCCACCTCGATTTCATAGTAGCAGCGCTCGGCCTGCAGTCCCTCTCTGCACAGCACCTGCCGCCGGTGGATAAACCTCTCCGGGTGGCGGAATGGTGGAACCGAGCTCCTTGATATCTGAGTGTTCGGCTTGACCTCTTTGTCTCCCCCAGACACGACCAGGTCCTCGTGAGCCGTGGTGGGGTCCAGGGTGAGCTCACATGCATCTGAGGTCGTGGAAGAGAAAGATGTGAGGTGAAACAGCACAGTTGAGGTGGACTATGGTGGAGCCCAGTGCAGATAAGTGGACTGTATGAGACGAGAAACTCACAGTGGAGAAACTCTGCTCTGGTCGTCGGCTCCTCGGTCTGTTCTGTCAGGGAGCTGTCACCTGCTGAGGAATCTGTGAGACGACATCACAACTGAAAAATCACAATAGTTGTTCTAGTCACATCGTACAGTATATTTCTTAAAGGTTCAGTGTGTAGAATTTTGTGATATCTAGTGTTTCATGATGCAGCTGAACACCCCTCACCTCATCCTCTCTTTCCAAACATGAAAAAGAACCTGTGGTAGCTTCAGTTGTCATTAAAACTCAAAAGGTGTTTAGTTTGTTCAGTCTGGACTAATGTAAAAAACATGGTGGCCTCCGTAGAGAAGACTCTCTCAATGTAAATATAAAGTATTTAAATATAAAGGGCCTTTTCTGGGGTAAAGAAAATACAATTTGTACAATTTAGATGAAATGAACTAGTGAAAACATCATGAGGATTATTCTACATTAAATATCTGCCAATAGTTCCCTTTCACCTAAATCTTACACACTGGACCTTTAAGTTAGGAGTAAATTGTAAAATATCTGAAGTTTTTGATTATTATTCCTTAATGACATATAACATTATGACCTGTGGAATAAATTCTAATAACACATGGTACAAGGTCTTGTGTGACAAATTGTGCTGTTTATAGTGACCTACAGTTGTCTGCTGTGGTTTCAGCCATGCACGTGTGTGTGTGTGTGTGTGTGTGTGTGTGTGTGTGTGTGTGTGTGTGTGTGTGTGTGTGTGTACAAATCAGGCTTTAAATGTGTTTCAGGACGTTTTATAAGATGGTGGAATTACATTAATCCACAGAAATCATTCTTCTTCATTTCAAATATAAGAATATTTGTAGAAGATTAATACAAACTGTTGGACTGTGAGACACTAGCTTCATGTTCATGCTCCAAGTCTGTGTCCTCTGTCTCCTCTTCTGATTCCTGTTGCTCTCCTCTGTCAGCTACAATCAACACAGTCACAAATAGTCAAAAAAAAAACCACTGTGATCAGGGACAATATTTCCATATGTCAACAAAGACACCAACCATTCACAGAAATTGAAGAAAATGAATAGTGGCAAAATTCCTCCAGCTGCCTCCCGAGCAATTCCACAGCTCCCTTTGTGAGCTGGAAGGGGAGGAGTCGATCCTCTGAGACCTCGTCTACCGGGTGGAGGTAGTCTTCTTCAAAGAGACGCTGCAGTGACGGCCATTTCTGCGAAGGGAAAACAAGTGAGGAACAGGCACAGGCATGGGGACATCTTCGAAGACACAGGTGTGATCACAGTACCTGCAGGAAACAAACATTGCTGTCCATCCGTGCAACACGATCCAGCTCGTCATCCCGCTTCTCCATCTCCTCCATCTCGGCCTCCAGGGTCTGCACGGAGACGTGAACCTTAGCCTCCACCGCCTCCCCCTGAGCTTCAATCAGATCCCTCACTGAGAGGTAATGTCTCTGCAGGGAGTCAATGACACTGACCAGCACGGCTTCACAGTAGTCTGCCGTTTGTCTCACCTCCTCCTGTTTAATACACACACAGGTGAGCGGGATCCATGTAACTGTATCTGGGTCCATTCATACAAACAGTATGAAGATCACACGGTCACACGTGCTCCTCACCTGAATCTGTTCCAGGATCTCCTTCAGGTTTCTACATTTCCTCTTCTGATGGTTCAGAATCTCTCTGGACTTTGTCTGGATCTTCATCAGCTCCTTCTGTAATGTGTGTTAAACACGTGGACACAGTTGTTTGAATCCTGTCGGTTCAGCAATGCAACCTTTTAATAAAGCTGTCATGTATGTGTTATGTTGTCATAGTTTTGTGTGCTCCGACCATTGCTTTGATTTGGTTTGTTTGCTTTTTGCTCTGATCTACAACATTTAATTAATGACATTTACTTTACTAAGAACATGAATATAACATTTGATTTGTTCTTATGCAGAAGAGCTCAATGCAGCTTGATGCGCATCAAGGAGCTCCGGTGATGAACAGTATCAACGTTAACATGAGCAATTTTCTCACACAGCCCCCCAACTCATCTCCTTACCTCCCCACCTCACATCACCCATTCCACCCATGTCCATAAAAGGCCAGAGTTGCTTTCTCTATCTCAGGTTGTGTTGCTATGCCTTGCCTCTTGACCTCTGCTCTAAGTCAGAGAAGAGTTGGAGCCCCTCTGTTCGGGACCTTTGATTTAGATAGAAAAGTCCCTGAGCGCAGTTACAATTTACCACTAGTTTACCCTTTATCAGTAACCTGGCCTTGGGTATTGCTGGGGGGCGATGAGTATGTTATTATATCCAGTAAAGAAATAATAGATGTCTTGTGTGAGGATATCTGACCCTCAACCTTGCTCCCGTGGGGATACGCAGGCCTCAACGAGATGTGCGGAAGACACCATAACTAATCGGAACTAAAGTAGAAAGTTCTTTCACAACTCCTAAGATGTTATTCCCAAGTCCTTACGACAAAGACATTTAATTGAGGCTTGATATTTTACACTTTAACCATAAATTTCACAATGAATAACTATAAATAATACAAAACATATTTCTAATTTGAATAAACTGACAGCTCACCCTCAGGTCACCCACTCAGTGTGTCTGATGATCATAGCCCCCCAACACCCTCTGACCCCGGGTGCATCACTGACGATGAGTCCAAGTCACAGACTGTTTCCAGAAACTCTAGGGGCAACTTCTCCTGTTGTTTACCTCCATGAAGCTGCAGCACAGAATGAACCGCAGTGATTCAGACTTATACTTCCGCTTTCCTAATGTTGAGTCTGAGGGGCGGAGGTGACGGGGCCTTTCTGTCAGGGCTCTGGAGATTCAAAACTTCTTCCCCTCTTTTAAATCTCTCTTCTCGTGTGTGATACTGTTTGTTAGTGTATGTGTGCTCTTTTGCTGAGTGATCATTAAATTGCTCTGAATAGTTTCTTGTTGTTTGCCTTCAGGTTTGAATTGTTTTACCCGCGAAGCACCTCCCAACTGTGTGTTGAAATGTGCTGTACGAATAGTTCATTGTGAAGTAAAGAAGGCTCGTGTGTGCAGCGGGTAAAGTCTCTTTTCTGTCTTTCTCACTTTAGAAAAAGAGTTTGTTTGAAATACCTGTTTCCTCCTCCGCTCCTCTCCCACGCAGCCGATCCTGTGTCCTCGGTGCTCCTGCGAAGCGCACACCGCACATATGATCTCCTCGTCGGTGCAGCAGTAAACATCCAGCGGGCTGTCGTGTTTGCGGCACCGAGCACTCCCCTCAGTCCCGGTGTCAGCGCGGCTCCTGCGGGGTGTCTGCGGGGTCCGTCCCGGTCCATCCTGTCGCTGCCTCCCCGGCGCGTCTCTCAGCAGCTCGGACAGAGAGGAGCTCATGACCCGCTGAGGCTGTGAAGGAAACATGCAGCTACACCCAGAACAGCTGCAGGGACAGATGCTGCCCTGCTCCTGACACCAGTGTCTGCACTTGTTCTGCATGCACCAGATGTGTCTGCGGGGGTTTTCTGCAGAGGTGGAATAACAGACTCAAGTTTACTTTCACTTCCTCAATCTGTAGTCAGGAAGTGAGTGTGACTGAAGTTTGTGAAGTGAACAAAGAAAGAGCAGAGGTGGTGGTGTGGTCGCTTCAGGAAAGATCGACTGATTTATCGGTTGCTTGATAAAATCAGCCACATCTATATCGGCTTTTATGTTTTGCACATCGAAAACTTATTACACGATAAACAATGGCAGAAAATATTACTTACTTTCTGTAAGTTTTGTATATTTGATTGCTTTGATTTTTAGTTATAATCTGTATATTTTTCTCTGCAAAACAGTAAATTCTTTTTATCTAACCTCTTTAAGTCAAGGAGAGACAACAAGCAGTTCAGTACATGTCGTACTGTGTATTGTTGGAATATATATGACAAATGTATAAATAAATATGAAGATGGTTCGCTGCTCAGACCCTGTAAGAAAAATAAATGCAGCAGGAATGGCAGTATACTTTTATTACAGTATTGAAGTCGTAAACCTGACAAAGCGATGATAAATAAGTCTCCCAATATACATGTATTCTCTTTTCCTTTATCTTCATAACAAACAAAATGCCTAAAAGTAAAAAAAAAAAATAGAAGAAAATGGTTAACTTGCAATTTTAGTTTTTTTTCCTCATCTAAAACCGGAGCTTTGATGATTCTTTTTCTTTCACACAATCAATAACGGCAAAGTAAAAACGGTTTTAACAAAGTAAATCAAAAATACTGTAAAAACATAAACATGTCTAAATGGTCCCGGGCAAAGATGTGTAGGCAGCTCTCAGATGAGGCGCAGAAAAATGCAGATTAAATTGAAATAACTTTTAAATGCAACAGAATGAAAACAGATAAGTAAATATTCTGTGTTTGTAAAGCGCTCACACATATAATGCATCTATGGACAGCACCTTTTCTATGAGGGGCAATTCAGGGTTCAGTGTCTTGCCCAAGGAAACTTCGGCATGCAGATGGGGAAAACTGGAATCACACAACCCACCACAGCCACAGCCGCCCCTGTTATCTGAGTCAGGAAATCAGAAGTGTGTCCCCCTCAGGAAACGATTATTAGAAAGTAACACGTTTTTAATGCACATTAGGACTAAAAAGCCTCATTCCTTTTCCTCTGCCTGAAGAAGATAAACTGAAAGAAGTGTAAGAGATCAAGGAATGTGACATTTATTTCCTAAAGCCCTATCACATCTCAACATTTGAAACAAAAGATTTAATCTAAATAAGCTTCTTATAAATTCATAGAGAACATAGTGTCATGTAGTGATTCAGGGGCCGAGGTTAATGACACCTGGAAATGTAAGGTAGGAGTTGAGTTACGTCCACAAACGAATGAATTTATTTTCAGCCATCTCATTTGGGAAAAGTCTAAGGGACTGAAATTACGCGTATGCTAAGTTCATCACAAAAAGCATTTGGTTGGAGCCCTGGTCAAACGGCAGAAATCACACTGGTCCAATGTGAAGATGAATGAGAGTGAAATCCAGCTGTGATCTTCAGTCTGTACAGAATATGTAACAAAACGCTTTCATCAATGAGAGCACGTTGGTGATTTCTCTGAACTCCTGATTGAAACAGTTTTATTTTATTTTTAAAAACCACCGTGATCTTGACAGTGGTTGATTTTCATTGTAGCAGTTCTTCCCAGGAAATAGGTTTGGAGAAGACCTCCCGCTCCAGCCAGAGGTCATAGTTCATTTGGAAGTCCTCAGGCAAGTCCACGCGCTGTCCCAGAACACTTTGCAGACAGTTGTCCACGGGCAGGAAGTCTGGGTTGATGTGGCTTTTGTCGTAGCGGCGACTGTTGAAGCGCTCGATGTTTGCCCGCAGAGCGCACTCCTCGGCCTGGAAGTCCCAGGGACGAGCGTCTAGATCTGCTCAGGGAGAGACAGCAATCAAGCAATATTGTATTAGAAATCTTTATTCCCTAATATCGGCATCTGAAAATCCTAATCAGTCAGACATCAGCAATCATAGTACTTTCCTAAAGCTTTAGTTTAAATAGTAAGATTCTTATTTAGGAAAATAAAAGACAAAGAAAACCAACATGGCTTATTTGGTTTTAAATACCTAAAGAATTATTCAGAACAGTTCCCAGTTGACCACATACAACTGGAAATGTTCTGCAACTCCAGCTGAGCTTCAATCATCATTGAATTTAAACACCAGCATTTAAACTTTCTGATGTATTATGTTCACACTCACCGTTTCCGTACGCCCAGTCATCGTTGAGGCGATGTCGGACCTTCTGATAGATGGCGGACATGGTCTTCATGTTGCTCTTCCTCCACTGACGTCCCAGGTATTTGGTCTGCACTTTGAGCAGTTTGAGGACGTAGAGCTGCATCATAGCCTGCTTGACCTTCAGCGCCCTCTTCAGGATGGGAGCCGATTTGAACACCACCAACATCTGGGAATGAAATGAAAGAAGTTGAGAAATACACCCTTAAAACATGATTCATCTGTCATGGTAAAACTCTGGTGAAATGGCGTCACCATTGTTCTGGAGTGTTTCCACTTGGTCAGTTTGTTGAGAATCCTCAGCAGGTTGATACAGGAAAACAAATTCCTCCAGCAAAACTGATTGTTGTCTCCCGCTTCCTGAGAAAAGAGCCACATTACAATTTACAAGTTTGACACGAGGAGTCACACAACACTGGGTTTAACCAGATGGTGAAAACTACAAAACATCAGAAATACAAAAACTTACCAGACTCTCTGCTGTTAACTCCGGCAGCTCATGCACAACACAGTGTGGAAAGTCCAGTACTGAAATGCTGTCAGGGTTAAAAGACAGTAAATGTAATTTAAAAGAATTCAAGCACATTTCACTGCCATTAATTATCAATAAGGTTCATGATTTTTGAAGTACCTATTCTTTGCAGTGATATAAGACATAATGTTCTGGTTGAAGAACTTCAGAATGAGGGGGATGCAGTTGGCGAACACCAGGTGTTGAGCCATGTATTCAAACTATGAAAACAACACACAGACACACAGTATTCAGCAAAAAGTAAAGAAAATTAAATCAAAGTGAAATAAATATGATTCATTTGCTTTGATATTTTTAAACATTTAAATAAATATTCTTTCGTCACACAACTCTGAACTGTTTGTTAGCATGAGTGTGACATCTGTACCTGGTAGATGTGGTTGAGTTTGAAGTGTTTGAGAAGCAGCAGCAGGATTGCAGAGATGGCCTTTACGATGATCTCTTTGTGCCGATTGACGTCAACACCAAGTTTCATGCTTTGCAGCACGGTGGTTCTGCAGAGTCAGATAGAAGAGATAAGTAAAAGGCCAGGTGAGAATCTATTGAAATAGCTGTTGAACCTGTTTAAAGACATCTTCACTTACGGCATCTCCTCTGGCAACACGTCCGCCAGGATGTTAATGGAGTCGGTTTTGGCTTTGGAGGTTGGAGCTGCTGCAAGCAGGATCTTCAGAAGAGCGATCTGATATTGAGGGAGACACACCATGTGTCAGTCAATACTTCAGGGAGAGATAATAATATATCATGATGGGTAATTATATGTATCACAATGAGTAGTTATATACATGTATTCAAGTAACTCACTTTGTTTTATTTGAATTTACCAAACTAGAGTCCGAGTAATAATTGTGTGTTAAGTATCAAACAGTACAATGAACAGTTTTTAGTGATTGTGAGTGATCCATATTAGCATCAATTAAATTGTCTGAGAAGAGTACTGTGGAGAATATTACCTTTAAGTTGACAAGCACTTTTGCACCATGTGTTACTTTTAAGTCATTAAACACTGTGTGCACCATTTTCAGTAACCATCTCTTGTTCACAGCTTTAGTTGTCCCAGTTTTAGCATGACCATTGTTTGAAACAATAACACATTGTTATCGCGTTGAAACTAAGGATGATACACTGAGCATGATGTGCAAGAGAAGATAAAACATAACTGGAGATAGGTAGAGTTGGGGACACGAGGCTCAAGGTAAAGATGGTACCACGTCATCAAAGGAGGGACCAAGCAAGAAGCGGCTAGTGCTCATTGGTTTTTTCAAGTGCCAAGAGGCCAGGACTGAGCCTGTGCACCAACAAGGGAGAGCTGAGTCTAAACCATGGCTATTCCCCGCCCTTATTAATCACGTTAATTCTCATGTTACAAAAACTGTGTGATGCCAAATGTACGGGACGACTTTTCACGATTCTGGGTGACTTAGAGCCAGGTTGTGTGAGGATGCCCATAGCTATGTAATACCTTTTCATTGTTTGGTAATAAATGTTCATTGATTTTACACGAATTGACTCTTCTCGTATCTCGGGAAAAACAAGCGTGACAGTACCGAGCCTCAGACACACTGACCATGTACTGAGGCAAACTGGGTAGAATTCCCTGATAGAGTAACTCTGTGGCGCACATCTCCACCTCCTCTTCACCCTGGAGAAAAACAAAGCAAAAACCAAGAAACTTGAAAAAACTGAAAAATATTTTAGGACACAAAGGGTAAATTTCTCATATGTGAAGTTAGTGTATTCTATCGTTTATTCCGAAAAACATGCTTATAACTACAAAACAGTGTCATTCATGTCAAATTAATGAACTGTATTATGAAAGTGAATGGTATTTGTTTCCACCTACACCAGACAGAGGGGTTTTCTGGAACTCTTCCTCCTTTGCAATCTGTATCTCAGCAATGGACACATACTTGTGCTGAAAAAAAAAAAAAAAAACTTGGTAAATGTATGTCCTGGATTACTATAGCTATAAAACATTCTGATGCTATTCTCTTGGTAAAGCATGATTCATGAAATACTGATGTAAAAATTATGTACCTGCTTTAATGTCTTGATGCTCTCATGAATTGGCCTGGGTAAGCCAACAACCGTATCTGTATCACTGCAGGACCGGCACATTAATAACAGTGTTTTCATACATTATTCAGGACATAGAGAATACAGTAAGAGTTGGTTCTGTTCAGTGTACAAAAAATGAACTGCTGTTGTTTGTAGCCAACGCACAGCTAACTTACCTCCCGAGTGTGTAACCAATGAATTTACTTCTACTAGATTCCAGGAAATTTTCAATGTCTTTTTCCCTGTGGGAGAAAAGACGACTGTGTCAAAACCAAAAAAACATCCTCAAAAGGTTTTCTAGATTTGTTTCCGTGAGAAAGGAATTAGGAAATGATCTTCCTTTAAATTTCCTTCACAACTCAAAAGTTATTCCAAATGCAGGATTACTTTTCAGTAAGACTTAAGGGTACCTGACTTTCGGAGCCCACGGCAGACCTTTGGGGAAGGAGACCCTCTCTGATGGAGGGTGGGGTATTGGCGGAGGCATCACCTCGTCCCTTTCGAGCGGGAAAGTCTCTGCTTCTAAAGAGTTGTCGTTGTCGTCGCTGTCATCCTCATCCTCGCGAGAGTCGTCGGCCTTGTAAGGGTCCTTTTCATTGAAAGCATCCAGATTGTCCTGTTTGATCAGAGCCTGCACAACAAGTCAGACTGTTGAAATTGACCGTTTATTGAACCCTTCAACTCTGTTCAATGTGACTTTTTTCACACTATGGAGAATGGATTGGATTGATTCTATCTTTGTGTCATGTTGCTTTAACATCATTTCCATGTGGGGGATGTCATTAAAAACGTTTTGACTTATACCTGCGCGCCAAAGGATTCACACTATTTTGTCGAAGCAGTGCATCTCCTGAATGTGTCGGATCATGGGCCATTAAGCACTGAATAATTAAAGTAGTATGCTTAAAATATCCTTAAACACTGTGACAGTGAATTCCATGTTTTTTTTTAACTGAGAATGTATGAGAGGTTAAGAGATTGAATGATGCTCTTTACAAATTTGAATATCACAATCAGACAAAAAACACATTCCACTTGTAGGAAGCTTTAATCCACAATATGTTAGATCTATGAGCAGGAAGCAGCAGTAATCACTACCTTGTGTTCACGGCGTGCCCGCTTCTGTTGCTGCTCTATAAGGTCAGATGCTGATGCAGGAGGAGAAGCCGCCCTCATGCTGCGTATAACTCGTATGCAGTCCTCCGGAAGAGGCGGTAGACCCAGCTCCTCGCGCTTACGAACCTTTATGCTTTGGAGCTGCTCAAACCCTCCGAGTGTGAACTGAAGAGAACAGGTTTTTTAATGTCTCTCGACTACAGATTTGACCTTTTTGTTGTAGGATAATCAGATTTAGAGTCAACAGTCATGAAAGGCAGATTCACATCTCTTACCAGTATGCTCTTCCACAACAGTAACAACACTTTCTTCATTGGGAAGTGGGGGGCGTGTCCACTGCAGAACTTGGTAACCATACCAAAGAGCATGACCGAAATGGGTTCGTTGTTGAAAAGAGAAGATCCTACATTCGAGAAACAGAGTGGAATTAATTTATATGGTAGATTTTGTTCATGCCCATAACACTACTACAGCTTTTAATAGTCTGATGAAATGTACCCAGCTCTGCTCTGAAGGTTTCCCTGATGATTTTCCATTCAGGTCTGTCAGTCGGGTCATCCTGTTGGATTGTCTCCACAATGAGATACATTATGTTGAGCAGCACTCTGAGGTCTGTGCTGTCCGCGAGGGATATGGCTGGTTTTCTCACAGCACTACTACAGGCAGCGCTGTTACTGCAAGACAGAAAATGGATCATACAAGAAATTAGTTTCACCACAAAATTCAATAAGAACAATTATTTTTTAATGAATAAACTTCTAATATTGCCAAGCCACCCATCATCCACGTGCTATATATCAATGAATAAGCTGAAAGAGGTAAAACCAAACATTTGTCTTGGTTAAAATCCACATGGCTTACATGATTAAGCTGTTGTACTGAATTTCAATTAATGTTTTAGTCTTGTAGTGAAAACTAGTGTTTTGTCAGTTTTGTCAGGTATACTCCTGCAAGGTTAGAAAACTAATGGAAAATTTACTCAATCTCCATGTTGAGCAGTTCCACTAGAGCAGAGAAGGTCCCCACGTCCAAGAGCAGAAAAATGTTGTATCTCATCCAATGCTGCACCTCAGCCTCGGAGCTGCACTCTGCGAAGGTTCCTGGAGAGAAACAAAATGTAAATAACTTCCCTGTTCAATGCCACTTCTACCACAATTTCCCCTTTTAAATCAGGTGACGTGGACTGACCCTGAGCCATGTAAAGAATGGCCCTCGCAACCTTCAGCCTCTTCTCCCGGGCGATCACCTCCAGACCGTCTAACAGGCGCATAGCATGAGCTCTGTGCTGAGCTTCATCGAGATCGGTCCACTTCTTATCAGACACTAAGGCACATTAGAGGTGGAGATAATTCATGAATGGACGATTTATTGCAGGACTGATGGATTTCGCTGCATTAGTTTTGGCTAGTTGTTCCTAATAAACTGAGAGTCATTTCTTCATCTTGATGTAATAAAATCTTTATGTTTATTTTTGATTGTATGTACGTTTAACTACAGACCATGTGTTCTGAACTCCTCCTCAAAGCACTTCCGGTTGAGAGCAAACTCTGGTCCTTCAGTATAACTGTACAGCTCTAGAACATAGAGAACATGAAAACAATCTAATTTTAGTACAGATTACAAGTTGTAAAAGAATGATGGGTTCAAGGGAACAAAAATAAGTCAGGAAATCTCTGTGTCTATGATGGCAAAATGTTACACAACAAACCACATACCGGACAGCTCTGCAGCCCACTTGTCTGTGTCCGCATATTCAAACTCCAGGTCCGGAGACTCAGACATCCCCTGTGACAGATTACATATAGGATCTCTTCATTAATCAGGTTAATACACAGACCTCTCTGTGGTCCAAAATCTGGATTAGCTCATTATCTACAAAACAAAATGCTGGAACCATGATATACAGTACATTTTGAACTAATTTGAGGGCAGGAGTGCAAGGTACTACTTTGCAGATTTAGATTTAGCATAAAACACGAGTGATCAGTTAAATCTATAGTTATTTATAGTCAGTTAAAACTTTCTACAATTAAAACTACCCTGACATATCTTAAATTACTTCCACTTGGATTAGCTCAAACTCTCACAGTATCAGTAACAATAATAATAAAAACATACTGTAAACAATAGTAAAACCAGTAATACTGCTGCGTTATGGTCACTTTTCCTTTTCCTACTTCACAGTGCACTCTGCTTATCAAACCTATTTGCAGTAAGACAGTAGAAGTTTTTAGACTGTTGAGGACATATTAGTTTTGTATTTCAGAGCCACAGTGGTTCCAGCTGTCGATTCAGTTTCTGCTTCCTTCGTGTTGTGTGATTATTTATAAACCATGAGAAAAGCCCTGAGTCTTGCAGTGACTTTCCTGCGCTGCTCTATTTAGAAACATTAGCAGACACATCATGTTACACGCATCTATAGTGAGATTATGAAACGTCACCAGGAAAACACATGAGACAGACACGAGTGAAACAGGAGATACTGACTGTTTCTGCAGGTTCCTCTGAGCAGCTGGCCCGCTGTCACTAGCTAACATCAGCTAGCTGCTCTGTAATGCTACACCGCTGTTACATGTCTAATACACGAACTACAGACGCACTACGAACGAAACACCACACAGCCGTGTGTACAATAAAACAAATACTTCAATAACAGGGTCAGTGTTGCTGCTAATCCACGTTGTCGAGTCATTTTACAAGTGTTAGCCTGTCCGAGCTAACTTAGCTAACGTTGTGTCACAACAGCAGAAACAAAGGGCCTCGTCTGTTTGTGGCTCACTGACAACAAATCACAGACTCGTGTCCACGTTACCTCTGAGTCTTTCCTCGGGTTGCGGGTGAACTCGCCCCTGCTCTTGTTGGGCAGCATGGCTCTCTGTCTGTTGTTGACTGGGAGCCCACCACCGTTCCCACTGTGGTTCCCACTGACGTCCATTACTGTGGGGCGCAGTGTCCTCTCGCGAGAGCTGGAGGGAGTTCTTCTGCCCACTTCTCCCGAGTTCCGTGTTTACGTTCAATGTGAAGTTTCAATTTTCCTTCTTAAAGAATTTTCAAACGGAATTGAATTCTGCAAACAAATGCGTTTTGGAAACACACGTGCAAATGTTTGAAACAACACACGCGCTGCAGAAAGTCACTACACATGCAAATACAGAAACACAAAGCGAAAAGGACCCCGGAGATGTTTCCAGGCTTTGTGAAGTCTGCTACTTGTCAGTGGTGATGGAACTACAGCCAGGTTCATCGTCTTTCCTGGGTCCCCTGGAAACATGTCCTCGGTCATTTATTCAGCTATTGGTTTTGTATTCGCACGTGTTGTGTCTAAATGATGAAGTCGTCTTCTTAATTTGCACTTGTTTGTGTTTTTGTTGCAGTGCGTTGAGCTCTGTCGGCCACCGTATGATTACATTTAGCTTGCTGAGGGGGGAAATGTATTTATAATTATTTCAGCATACCAAACCTGCAATAAAACAA